TACTTCTCTCAGGGGGCAAAAGATTTGTCTGGTTGATCTCTCACTAAAATGGGATTTTTTCCTTCTCTGTGTTATTCCTATAATCCTAGAGCCTCTTCAAACTCCCTTTACTACCTGTGAGCTCTTTTCTCATGAACTAGTTATACCTTATTCACAGAATAAGGAACATTCCCCTCAAACAGTGTGCAGAATGCATCAGTGTATTCATTATAGCCACTTACTGAGTGCTTCGTTATGGGCCAGACTTTTAACTAACATTGATGCTAAAGAACAAAACTTCCCAAACCATAGCCGTGTCTTTATATACTAAGCTAGTTACTTCTTATTTCTCACTCAGATTAAGCTTTTATATGTTGTATGTGGGAAGAGGATAGGGAATAGCACTTCTCTGCATTCCTAGGAATGGCAGGATAACTCAGACATAGGTAAGTCCAGGTAGTGGTGATTTTTTTTTTTTAACTCAACAGGTATGTGTTAGACACCTATTCTGTGTGGCTTGAATTGGACATCTGGGAAGATATAGGAGGAGTAAAGAGTTTAATTCTATCCCTTTCAAGACACAAGTTCCCTGATGATCTTACATGGCCACACAAAGAAGTGAAGTATAGAGAGCTTGTCTGTTAGGGGAGTCCTTGTAAGGAAAGATCTGTCACAAGAAAGGCTTCACGCAAATTGTAACCCCTCTGTATGGTATTTTCACAATTAAAAAAAATATATAAAAGAAAGGCTTCATGCAAAAAAGGGACACTTATCTTTTTTCGGTTATTACAGTAATTTTTGGTGCTAGAGAGTGCTGTGACAGATACTTCATTGATCTGTGATTTTAACTATCCTAGATTTGGAGTTTGGAGAGAAAATTCCTTTTCTTTCTCCCTTTTAAAGTAAGTTATCCTTCCAGGATTGCTACTCACACTGACTCATTCAGGACTTTCATGATACTTTCTCTCCCACTGGCCTTTGTGTGTGGAGAGCTGAGGTATGAGGAAGCTTCTTAGTCTATTTGCAGACACAGGGCCAGCAATGGGACTGAGGGGAATAGGATTGGGTTCCTATTTGGGCTTTTTGCTTTGCGTTGATTTGAATATTTCATTTTTTACTTCCATATGACCTTGATAAAACTGTCTGTACTTCCATGCTCTCAGCTGTGCAGTTATTTTCAGAAGAATATCAGTGTATAAGATGGATCAAAAGGAAGAATGCCAATTTGTAAAATGGTCCAAAATAGAGTGCTCATGGTTCATCCTCCTTCCTAGTTCTAGCTCAGCAGCCCCTAGAAGATTGCTGAGGCACCGGGGCCTTCTGAACTCCTTCCTAGCCTGAGATACCATGGAAGAAGAAGGCAGGCAAATCTTTACCAAGACTGGCTTAGAAGATGCTTCTCTACCCCTCGTGAACCCCATTCTTTATATGAATTCTAATACCTCTCTGCTCTCAAAGCTTTCCTCTGCTACCATGGCCATTGCCATGTAGGAACTCAGCATTTGCTATCCCTTAGACAACCTGTATCCATAGAGTAGGGAAAGGAACAGTAAGGGGTTTTTTGTTGTTGTTTTTTGTTTTTGTCGGTCATGGGACTTGAACTCTGGGCCTGAACGCTGTCCCTGCACTCTTCAGTTCAAGGCTAGCACTCTACCACTTGAGCTACAGAGCCACTTCTGGTTTTCTGGTGGTTTATTGGAGATAAGAGTTTCATGGAGTTTCCTGCCCGGGCTGGCTTTGAACCACAATCCTCAGATCTCAGCCTCCTGAGTAGCTAGGATTATAGGCATGAGCCACCGGTGCCCAGATGGAACAGTGAGTTTTTATGAAATGTCACTGCTTTCTTTCTTCCAGCCCTCAAAACAACTCTGATACGTTCTCTGTCCTTCATGTAAGTATAGGTTTTCTTCTTCCTAATGAACTCATATCTTCAAACAGAACTGAGAGTAAAAATAGGGACTTTGGGAATATAGGAATCCTTGGTGAATTACCTTAAATTAATGATACTAAAAAGGGAAATCAAGTTCAGCTGTGCAAATTAGCTTCTCATTCTGGGTCTCCATAACTTAATTTGCAAATTATAATTAAATGTCCCAAATAACTATGTAGTGGTTGCTAAGATCTTTTTGACCTAAAAGTTTCTGTGACCTATGAACCAGTGCAAAATTGGTCTGTAGATGCTCCTTTTAAAACATTTCTATCTCTAATGATATCATGATGTCTACAATACAAACTGCACTCCTGAAGGAAGAGTTGAGTTCAGTAGATTAGGCAGAGCCCAACAGTGGAGGAGAAGAGAGGTAAGATGGGTGGGTTGAGAGCCCCTTCCTCTTCCAGAGCAGGATCTCAGGGTACAAGTGTGTCATTCCCCTTAGATGGTACGCTTGTTGTTCCAAGTGAAAGGGCTGACTGGGCACCTATACTGCAGGGCTAAGCTGGGCAGCAAGACAAGTGGTGTGGACTTGTTAGGAGGCCAAGAGGCAAAAATTCCTTCCTTACAGTAAGTCACACACAGCTCTGCCTCTGCTGCCCAGAATGGGTTCAGCCTTCTGGAAAACATGAGGGTAACATTGGGAAGACAGGAAGCCATCCCCATGATCACACTCTGGATCTGACCAGCATGTCATGTGGTCCTCCTGCAGGCTCTTTCATTCTGACATGTCTTTCAATGGGTGTCACCAGAGCATAGGAAGGATATTTTATTTTAAAAATATGCAGAACTGCCACATAGTTGTTTATGCAACATTGACTTTATTATAGTCATCAGAAGAATTCAACATACGTTATTTATATTACTTTTAAGTAGTTGTACTAAGGAGTTGCCATTTAACAAAGCAATTCATGAATACAATATATCTAGATCAACGTTACCCCTTTAAACAGTCTCATCCATCATTCCCCTACCCACCCCTTCCATAACTAATTTTGTAGGATACACATTGGATTCTTGACTACATTTTCTCCTTCTTCTGTTCATTCATCTATCCCTTTCCCCTTGACTTCATCCTTTTGAGTACCCACTTCTTAGTATACAAGTGTATATAATGTGTTAACTGAAATATGGTAGATTCAAGGGTGATATCAAATAGTGTAATTCTTTTAGGCAAAATCAAAGTTCAGCAAATAGTGTACTTTTTGTTGAGCTACAAAAACGTCTAGTCTACAGCTCAATACGTTTTCAGGCAGCAGAGTCACTCCTAGACCTAGCACTCAGTTCTAGAACATTTCTGGATCCAGGAACCTCCTTGTGTCCCAGTTCTGCACAATACCATTCTCCTCATTTCTCATAGTACAGACTTGTTTGGTCTCTGCCTGCACTTCCCACAGGCAGACTTGCCTAGAATGGGGTCTTCTATGTCTGGCTTTTCCCATGACATTGTTTCTAAGGTTCATCTGTGGTGTTCCATCCATCTACTATTGATGAACATTTAGATTGTCTTTAGGATCTTACTGTTATGATCATCATTGCAGTAAACATTCTCTGTGTTTCATGTTCAAGTTAAGATGCATTTCTATTAGTGGGTGCACCCTGAGTTGTTCAGTTCACCAGTTCATCAGCTCATATCTGTCGGCAGCTTGAGTAGAGTCTGCAGGTATCCACAGTGGTCACACTTCTAAAATATTATTATAAATAAAGGAGAGCTCTATATAGTTTTCCTCATGCCTGCCAGCAATGTGTATTTTTATTTGAAGAAGAGACCAGCATCAATTAGAGGACTAATTTATGTGAAGATAAGTATATTTAGAATTGCTTTATTATAGAATTTGGCCTCTTTTTAAAAGAATATTAACATGTATATTTCTTTCCAGAATTCTTACCATTTACCAGTTGAATTACCAGTGAGATTTTTGTTAATTTGTGCCAGCATTACCTTAAAATGCACCTTGTTTTTTTTGGGTGCCAGCCCTGGGACTTGAACTCAGGGCCTGGGCACTGTCCTGAGTTTTTGTTTTATTTTGTTTTCTTCTTGAGTCTAGTTCTCTGCCAGTTGAGCCACAGCTCCTCTTCTGACATTTTCTGAGCAGTTAACTGGAGATAGGAGTCTCACAAATTTTTCTGCCTGGCTAGCTTTAGAACAACGATCCTCAGATTTCAGCTTCCTGAGTAGTAAGGGTTATGGGTATGAGTCTTCATTGCCCAGCTAAAATGCACTTTCTAGTACTTCAGGTGCTTTCCTAGTTTTACGTGTGTGCATGTGCGTGTGCGTGTGCGCGTGTGCGTGTGCGTGTGCGTGTGTGTGTGTGTGTGTGTGTGTGTGTGTGTGGTTGATGCCAGCTAACCAGGAGTCTTCCTTGTAGTTCTCCGCTTGAGTGGGAATGGGGACTGAGCATTCTTCTCTGAAGGAATGCACCTGGTCCCCCAGGCAGAGTGGCAGTGCGTGGGGTACTCGCAGAGCCTGTAGAGCACTTCCTGTTATTACACATTTGTCTTTGCAGAAAGCAAAGTTTTGTGAGTGGAAAAGCTAGGTCTCTGCTTCACCTTGTTTTCCCTAAACCTTCCTCATCTGTTAACATGTTTCTTTAGAGCAGACACATGCTCTCTTAACAATCACCCTGAAGTAGGGAAGATGACTGTGTACTTTATCATTCTTTTTTTTTTTTCAGATAAGGGGTAGGTTTATTCATCGTTCCGGCTGGCACCAGGCCATCTTGGTCCTCCACGTGGTGGGGAAAGGCCTGGGAAAGAGAGCTGGGAGAGCTGGGAAAGAGAGAGAAAAGAGCTAGAAAAGAGAGAAAAGAGCTTGAAAAGAGAGTGTCTGGGAAAGGTGGGAAAGAGATAGCTAGGAAAGAGAAGAAAGCCGGGAAAGAGAAGAGAAAGAAAGAGCTGAGAAAGAGCTAGAAAAGAGCAGAGAGCTACTTTATCATTCTGTTGGGTTTGAGCCAAAAGTTGGATGAAGGTGTAGCATTCCAATGAACATAGAGTAGTAAGTAGTTCTTGGCTCCACACCTTTTTTAGGCATTGTGTTTTTGAGAACTTCATGTTTGGTCAGCTTATCAAGTTTATGCTTTTCTGTTTGTAGATGGTAAATTTGGACATGCTACTATGAAGAAATGCCACATGGTCCTGGAGCAGGAATGTCCAGTAAGTTACTTGATCAACTGACTTAAGAGCCATAGCCCGGATTCTTTAAGCACAGAGCTGTGGACTTTCCTGGAGAAGATTGGGGTGATTCTGGATATACAGAGACCTTTGAGATGGTGTTTTTAATGTCTCTGTTATCTTAACCTGTAAAGATTGGTTCCTTCTAGAGCCATCAGGAGTTTTAGGACACAGGATTGGACAAACCTGAAACTCCTACTTCTGAGAGCGCTGTCTACACCAAGACAACCTCAGTGTAACTCAGATTTCAATACTATTTTGCCCACTATGCCCTCCCTTTCTTAGTACTTCCCCTTCAATTAGGTGCCTTCACTTGACATTTTGCAGGAATTATAGCCAGAGACTTCTATACATAGGAAATTTGTGTAGCTCAGGGAAGAACAGGCAGGTTAGGAGCATGAGCTTTATCTCTGCGGTGTTCTGCCATGCTGGGGTACCTGTGGGCAGCACATGTCTTCATGCATGTCTTGTCCTCCTGTCAGAGATTGTGATGAATTCCTTTAAAGTTGCAAAAAAATTTTAAGACTAGCCAAAAGAAGAGTGTAGTAAAACAAAAATCTCAAAAAAATCATATTTTATGATTACATTTAGGTCATCACTTAAGTGCTGTAAGGCACGATTGCTTTATGAGATTCCCACAGGCATACTATGTTGGGGAGTTGGGGAGTGAGGAAGAAGAAGCAACAAAAAGGGGCAGAGTGGCAGACAGTCCACCCCAGTTTCTTGCCAGAAGACCATGGTCACAGCATCTTGCCCATATTAGGTCACATTTTTTCTTTATGGGAATACAGTGTTCTCAGTCATCATCCTTGGCTTCTTACCAGTATTTGATTCTATTTTGTAGGGTTACTGCCACCTTAGGAAACTTGGGTTTACTAACAGCACTTGCCAGGGAATCTGATGTGGTTTGACCCAGAAGCAAGAAACACATCGTCACCAATGACATCATGACAGCAAGAGAGCACAGCCCTCGCCATGGTGCCAGGGCCCGTGCAATGCAGCGGGCATCCACTATTGATGTGGCAGCTGACATGCTGGGCCTCTCTCTGGCAGGTGAGCCTCACAGGACCTGTATCAGCCTTCTGGTACAAGCTCTCAGCATGAAAGTTCTACATTGTAGCAATCCTGGGAGGGTCTAGCCTGGATTACCCAGTGGACAGATAGAAGCAGCATGCCCTGATGTGGCATCCTACTAGTTGAACTAGGAAATTGGGAGAGGAAAGCCGTTCTCTTTCTGAAAACTGGTGTGTTGGAATCTGATTGCAGCTAGTTAGTTTAGGTGAGCACTTCTGGACTTACCTGCCAATAGGTGATACAGGAATATCCACAGTGCCTGTGTGAAAAAAGCCCTCCATACTGTAAGGCCTGTAGAACTGAGAAGGAATGGGTTTGTTCTTTGGGTCCGAGACATCTTTGGAATCTCAGGAGCAATATGTTGAAAATGTAGAAGTCAAGCTGAGTATGGTTGTGTATGATTGTAATCCCAGCATTTGGGAGGCTAAGGGTGGAAGATTGTGAACTCAAGACCAGCCTTAACTACATAGTGAGTTTTGGAGAGTGTGGGTTACATAGGGAGAACCTGCCTCAAAAAAAAGAAAGAAAGAAAGAGAAAAAACAGATTAAAAATATGTGAAAGCCTGTTGTAATTTGGAGTGGGAGAGGAATAAAGTAGAGTTGTTGGTTTTTTTTGCACTAAAAACAAAGTAGAAAAAAGTTTATTGAGAATGAAATTCTGTTGTTTCTGTTTTCTTCAGGAAATATACAAGATCCAGATGAACCCATTTTAGAATTCAGCTTAGGTAGGTACCTTACTTTTGCTTTTGTTTAAAAAATATGCTGTTTAAGAGGAAAAACATAAACCCTACCATTGGTATGAGTTTGTCTCTGACAACTTGATGCTGCTACTGCTGAAGTATTTCTGAGAAGATGCAGCTGTGAACTTCCTGTGGGCAGAAAAGAACCTTGAAGGACACAGAGCCCACAGAGCTCCTGTTTCTTCAACGGGCCTACTTTCCTTTTAGCTCTGCAGTGGCCAGTTAGCCCACCCAGAGCCACCAGAGAGCCTGCTTTATTCTTGAGGAAAGATTGGGAAAAATGGGCTTCTTGCTCTGCTTTGTGCTCTCTGATGGTAAGAATTTAGCTTTCTAATCAGGCACCAGTGGCCCACTCATGATTGCAGCTGCTTACAATCAAGGCTCAAAGCCAGTATAGAGAAAAAATCAAGAAACTCTTTCTCTAATTAACCAGCAAAAAAAGCTGGGCTGGAGTTGTGGTTAAAGTGGTACAGAACTAGTCATGAGCGAAAAAGCTGAGTGAGAGCACAAGGCCAGAGTTTAACCTCAGTGTATACAAGTAACTCCCCACCCCTCACCACCCAAAAAAAGGTTTAGCTCTCTAGCCCTTAGATTCCCCTCTGTAGAAGAAGAAGATGACATCTATGTGCTATCCCTCTCAGGATCAAATGAGAGGATTTTACCATGCAGGGCTCATGACATTTCTGAGTTCTACTTAGGAGTCTGGAGACCTTATCTTCCAGAGTTCACGCTATCCCCTGCTCTTCTTCCTTCTCAACCCCTGAACCTTGGTAATGATCAGGATTGACTGGTAGCCTGGCAGTAATGTCCATGAGGTAGAATGGCATAAAAGAGGTACCTATGAGGAGTTAAGTAACTGAAGCTTTAGTACAACAGTGCTAAATCAGTAGGATAGCTTCAAGCTGCCACGGGACCTCGTATAACCACTTTTCTCATTGCTATGTAGGAGCTCTACTGCTTGCTCCAGAGACAAAGATGAAAGCAATCAAACTCCATTCCCTAAGAAAGACTTGGATAATTTGTTTCTAGATAGTAAGCTAACTGCAGAGGACCTTATTCCCAAGACTCAACTCTAGTCCTTCTCTGGGGTCAGATACATCAACACATTAAATTAGAGATAAGTGGCCAGACAAAAAGTTTGTCTTATTTGACCAACAAGCTTCTACTCCTTAACTTTGCTGTCATCCTTACTCTGACAGGCATATGCCTCTAGTCAGGAGGCTACACATGTACATTGATATAGAACATACTTGTTGAAAGAAAAATGTGGGAGAGCTTATTAGTTAGCATTTGGCTAGTAATTAAACATGGAGTGAGACTTAGGTAGGCTAGGGGCAGATGAATGAAACCAGGAGAAAATGTCACTTGTAGAAAGGATACAGGTAATTGGAAACTAGGCTTGGGACCATTGGCCTTTAAAATGGTATTTGTCTTTCTAGTCTTTGATCACCTGATATCTCAGTGAAAACCAGTAGCCTAGAAATCACTGGGAGACAGAATGGAGATATCCTACAAAGCCTCATTCTCAGGGAATTATCATTATTTGATGGCCTGACTATTCCCTGAAAACCTCACTTGTAGGATTTGGTCTTATTTGCCCTAGTTCAGGAAATCCTCACTGGGAACAGCTTTTTTTCCCCAAATATGTTTGTAAAAAACAGTGACCAGGGCTGAGGGTGTAGCTCAGCAATTTGTTTATTATGTTTATTATGAGTGAGGCCCTCGTTTGGTGTCTAACACTGAATCTAACAACAACAAATCGTGGCATTATAGGAAAAAAAACTACAACCTTGCAGCTAATTGTGTCAGTATTAACACTTGAGGCAAATAAGAAACAAACTTCTCCTTTCAAAAAGGGCAATAACCACAACTCCACAACTTAAAAAGAAAGGTGAGAATGGTATTCCACCAGAAGCTTTGGAAATCTGATATGTTCATGGATGCCAGCACATGTATGGGGCTGTACTCATGTTCAGGGCTATGTATGTTCTCAGGGAAGACCTGAAAATGCTATAAGAAATCAACCTTTAGACTTAGCATAAGCCGGCAGTGAAGACAATCAGTTATAACCCGCCTGCCTGAACATTGACCATATGCCCCGATGTGCACACAGAGATTCCTAGCAAAAGCTTTATCACAAAATATCAAAGGTCCACCAGGTGTTGGTGACACACCTCTAACCCTAGCTACTGAAGAGACAGATCTGAGGATTGTGATTTGATGCCAGCAGAGCAGGAAAATCTGTGAGACTCTTATCTCCAATTAAACACCAAATAGCTGGAAGTGGAGCTGTAAATCAAGTAGTGGCAGAATGCTACCCTTAAGCAAAAAAGCTAAAGAACAGTACCCATGCCCTGAATTCAAGCCCGAGGACTGGCACAAGGAGATATGGTATGTCATACACAGGAAAATTTAAAACAAAAACAACTCATAGTAAGAAGTGTCCTCAAGGAAATGTTTGTCTTTCTAGACTAAGATTTTAAACCAGCTATTTAAAAACTATGCTCAAAGACAAAATCATTTCTAAGGAACCAAATTAGTAAATAATAATCACTATCAATGAAGAGTATTATTGAGTCATATGAATATCAGTGAAGAAACAGAATTAATAAAAAGAACCAAAGTCTGGAGTTCAAAAGTATAACTGAAGTGTAAGTTTCATTAAGTGGGGCTCAACTGCAGACAGAAAAAGAATCAGTATACTTAAAAACACGAGTTCAGTTGAGATGATTTAGCTTAAGAACGTAAGGAAAAAAGAATGAAGAAAAAAGAACAGCTTGAAAGATTTGTTGGACACCATCAAATACACCAATTAATGGGAATTTTAGGAGAGGAAAAGAAAGGGGAGAAAATATTTGAAGAAATAATAGCCAAAAACTTTCCACATTAATGGAAAGTATTTCCAAAGACCCTAATGAATTCCAAGAATGATAAACTCCAGAGAGACATGTCCAGAGCTGGACACAACATAATTAAACTATTAAAAGCCAAAGACAGATTTTAACAAGCAAGAGAGAAGTGAATTCCTATGCACAAGGCATCTCCAATAGGAGTAATGCGTATTTCTCACCAGAAGTATTATGTTTAGAAGACAGTAAGATGATGTTGGAATTCCTGAAAGAAAAAGACAGTACAAGGAATTTTATATCCAGAAAACATTTCCTTAAAATATAAGAGATGAAGGCATACATCCTCACAAAAACTAATGTTTACATAAGCATTATTCATAATAATAAAATTGTGGGAACAATCAAAATATCTACCAGTTGAATGGATACACAATACACAATATGTTCATTATTCATCAGTAAAAAGGAATGAAGTACTGGAACTTGCTATAGCATGGGTGAGACTTGAAAATAGGCCAAATGGAAAAGGCTAGACACAAAAGGCAATATATTGCATGATTCCATTTATATAAAACTTCCAAAGTAGACAAGATAGATCTATACAGAAAGAGATTAGTGGTTTCTAAGGGATTAGGGATGAGAGATGATGAATATTGTTAATGGATATGGATTTTTTTCTTTTGAAGCATTAATGTTAAGTGTAGGTAGTGGTAATGGTTACATGACTATAAACTCCTAAATTATACACATTGTGTGAATTTTATAGTAATTGACTATGTCTTAATAGTAGTCATTAAAAAAAGCCATGGTAATCTGTTGGGAAAAAAAAACTTATAAATCCACAAAGGCAAATGAAGGAACAGTCTCACAGCTTAAAAATAAGACATCAAGAACAAGAAATTGTGAGTGAAAAGTTGTGACACAACCTGACATTATACTGTTTGATTGCTAGGAGACCCAGAAGAGTAGACAGAAAGAGGGGCAACAGGCTCAAAGTAACAGAAGAATCTTTTCCAAGAGAAGGGTAGATTTAAGACCCAATGGGTTTACCAGCAGCTAGCCTTCTTCTTGTGAAACTTCAGAGTTCTCAGAAAGAAAAAACTTATATGCTTCTGAGTAAAAAACAGATAGGCAAAAATAAAATCTCACCTTTAAGGATAGCTTAAAAAAAGGAGTAAAAGCTAAGGAATACCTTGACCTTGTTTCCAGAGAGCTGATAGGACAGTAAAGGATCTGTAGTTGGAGGCCCAGTTATTCTTTCAAGGGCTTATAGTGACTTCCAAGAGTGAGCTAAAAAATCCAGAGGTTGAGCAGTGCTTTAAACAGCCTCTCAGAACTAAAGTAATTGTACAGTACTAAAAGCATTGTTTCATCAGATTACAATGCTTGATGCCTCAACTTTCCTGTATATTTAAAATCCAGAAGGGTGCACTTTTAGAATAGAGGGAAGAAAAATCAGATGATCATAGGGACTTCAAGTTATCCTAGTCTTGAAATAAATGAAGGTACCCTAGAGTGCCAGAGCTGCTTAGAGCCAGGAGAAAGACAGCATCAGTCTAGGCCTCATCTAGTTTCCAAAAACTTTTTTCCCCCTTAGTACTGGGATCAAACTCAGGGCTTTTCGTTTGCTCAAGTTTCTTGCTCAGCTGTGCTCTCCCACTTAAGCCACACTAAACAACCTGGCTTTTTTTTTTCTTTTCTCTTTTTTTCTGGTTATTTGGAGGTGGAGTCTCACAGAAATTTTTGCCCAGTTTGGCTTTGAACTGTGATCCTTCCAGGTTTCAGCTTCCTGAGATGCAAGCAGCTGGTGCCTGACTAAACAGTTTTTCAAGTGTTCTATTAAGCACAGATCTATAAATATGAGGAGATAAGAAACATGAAGAGAAATAACAAGCAGTACAAATGCAAAGGGTGCTCTGGATATTAGAGTTAATTTAGCTCCAGATGCTAAAATAACTATTTTCTGTGTTTTAATTTGTGGGCTACTATAACAGAATATTATAGATGGGGTAGCTTCCACAGCAGAAATTTGTTTCTCACAGTTCTGGAGTCTGGGAATTCAAGGTCAAGGTGCCAGCAGATATAGTATCTAGTGAGAGCTGGCTTGTTGTCTTTGCAGATAGCTGTCATGTTGTATCCACATGTTGCAGAGAGCAGAACAGAGGGAGCAAGTACTCTTGTTTCTTCTTTAAAGGCATCAATCCCATCATGAGACCTCTACTTTGATGACCTACTTGTCCCCAAGGCCTTACTTCCTAATATTATCACATTGAGAGTTAAGATTTTAATGTATTTTTTTTGGGGGGGGAGAGGTACATACAGTCTGTAACATTGTGCTAAAGGGGAATAAAGATATCAGTGGGGCACTGGTGACTCACACCTGTTATCCTAGCTACTTAAGAGGTTGAGATTTGATGATTGTGGTTCAAAGCCATCCTGCGCAGGAAAGCTCATGAGACTCTTACCTCCAGTGAACCACCAAAAAGGCTAGAATTGGAGCTGTAGCTCAAGTGGTAAAGTGCTAGCCTTGAGCAAAAAAAAATTCAGTGACCAGGCCCTGAGTTCAAGCTTCAGGACCAGCACAAAAACTAAAAATAGATATTGACTATTTCACTGGAGAACTTGAAACCATAAAAGGACCATATAGATACTTTGGAATTAAAAAAAAATAACAAGTTAAAAATGTGTATGGATCTATTGTAAAGATGCTGTACAGAGGGGTTACAGTTACATGAGTAAGGTAGTGAGTACATTTCTTGTTGGGCATTGTTACCCCCTCCTTTGTTGTTCTCCCTGACACAAGAAATCTGATAATTTTTAGATACAAGTTAATAAAAAAATGGAGAGGGAGGAAGGGAAGGCGAGGCAGGGGAGACAAAGAGAAAGAGGAAACAATAAAATAAACATGAGACTGTCTAATGCATTAATTTAATTAATTTTGTGCTCAAGAAGAAACAAAGAGCCAGAAAAGTTAATAAAATGTTCCTAGATACTACATAGAGAAACAGGAAACACACACACACACACACACTCTAGTAGCACTAATTTTAGACTGACTTGTGGTTTTATAAAAGAACAGATAGAAATCTAGAGACAATATATTTAAAGGTCTTACAGAAAATAATTACTTAGAGGAAATATCCTTGGAAATTCTGGTACAGTAAAGATACTTTGAAACAATAAAAGCTGAAAGAATGAAACAATAAAAATGAAAGTTGTGTTAGCCCCAGGCTCTTTAATAAGGAAGCTTCTTATTATTGATGACATTCATAGTTTAATGACAGTGGGTTTTGTTTTTTTATAGTGCCTTTTGTAATTAGGGAGTGTGTTAGTGAAATGTAATAATTTGTTTCTAGAGACACTTCTGTGATAGAAATATCTTAGACTTGTAATCTGTTTCAAAGTTTGATGCATTTTCCTAACTGAACTGGTTCTACAAGGTATTGTTAGTTCTGAAAAGTAGCTTTTATTAACTTTGCATTTGATATCAATTTTAGAAGGAGAATAACTAGAATTACCTTTTTAAAGCTTTATTTTGCTATAAAAATTTAAATTTATTTTAGCATTCATCCAACCACACACTAAAGCTTGTGGGACACCAAACACTCAGCTGTATTAGCTATAGGTCACAGACATGCAGAGCTGTCTTAGACTTTGTGATCCCTTGGCTTAGATTGGTAGAATTCCATTAGTTATTAAGGTTCCAGTTGTAGGGTATACAGTCAGTCCTGTCTGAGACTGCCAGTTCTGTGTTCCATTCCTAGGACATGGAAGCCATCCTTAATGCAGCCTTCTCCTGTACTGATTGTCCCACTGTCTTGTGAAGTAAAAGGAGGAAGTTTTTAAAATTACTTCTCTGCAACAACAATTGACAAATTGATCATCTGATCCTTTTGAGTGTTACTTTTGTTTGGAGCTGATAACTAAGTAGAGCTTGGTCTAAAACAACTGACATTTTTTCCCCATCTTCCTTTTATAGCTTGCAGTGAGTTGAATACTCCATCGCTAGATCGAAAACCAAATAGTTTTGTAGCAGTGAGTGTTACTACCCCTCCTCAGGCATTCTGGACAAAGCATGCACAAACAGAGATCATTGAGGTGGGTGCTGTTAGTATCCTTTCCTGGAGGAAGCTGGAGTTGTACTCAGCTTTACATGCATGAGTCCCTGGTTCGATTCCTCAGCACCACATAAGCAGAAAAAGCCGGAAGTAGTGCTGTGGCTCAAGTGGTAGAGTGCTAGCCTTGAGCTGAAGAGCTCAGGGACAGCGGCCAAGTCCACAACTGAGAAAAGGTCTTTTTTGAAATCCTAAATCAGATCCAAGAATATCACTTTCAGAATGTCCTAGTGGATTCAGTTTACTTTTATCTTGGAAGAAATAGTCTTTGTTCTACTTCATTTTCTTGACAGAAATATATGTTTTCAAAGACTAACTTTCAATTGGTTTATTACCAAAGAACAATTTTCCTCAATTCCTTTGCTTTTCCAGTTTCCAGATTCTTAGCAGAGTATTTATTTTTGTATATTCACCTGTTTGGTCATTTTCTCTGAAGATGATATGCTATTTATAGATAATACCTGCAAGAGAAATAAGAATGTGTGATTACAGACATGGTAGAGATGGCACCAAAATGTAAGCCTGGATTTTTATTCTGCCTGGGTAGTCAGAGGCAGCCAGGGATGTATTAGGGAGAGCTGTTGAGTCAAGGGAGACCCCAGCAACCTTCCCCTCCCCCAGGTGGCGCTGTCCAGCAGACATTGAGACACTACATCTTATGTTGTTGGGAACTCCCAGTCAGAGATATTGTAATAGATTCAAACCGGACCAAGTAACCATTACTCTTGAGAAAGGGTATATAAATATTAAGGAATTTGTGGGCAAGGCTATGCTACCAAGAAATAGCTATCTGGAAACTAGCAGCTGGTCCTGGATAACTTCTAAAAAGTCAGCTTTAATTATTCCAAGCACAGGGTTCTAGAAATAAGCAACTTAGGCCATTCATTCCTCTTCTATGTGATTGTTTGTACATCTTAAATTAACAGTCCCAAGTTGTAGGTCCAAATATATAATTTACAAAGTTGTAACACTAAGAACATTCTTGGATCTTAAATACATTTCAGTTTTAGAAAGTTTTTCTTTCTTGTATGAAGCCCTTAGAAATGAGTCCCAGCACAGCTCATGTAGTGTAGTGAGCCTATTGGTTTGTGTCTGGGTCTGTAACATTCTAGGTCAGACTACATTTTCCTCTTTTGGAAAGGTTTTTGCTTATATGTATTCACTTATGCCACCATTAGCATTTAGATACCAAACAAGTAAAAGTGTTGGTTGCTCATTCTTAAAATGTTAGTATATTTAAAAAACAATTACTTAAAAAAATCTAGCTCTGATAATATTCTTTTCTATTCCAGGGAACCAACAATCCTATATTTCTAAGCAGTATTGCCTTCTTTCAAGACTCACTTATCAATCAGATGACACAAATCAAACTATCTGTGTATGACGTCAAAGATAGATCTCAGGGAACAGTTAAGTAACACGGGGTTCATGGGACTTTTTTTCTCTACAGATATGCAATAATTTGAGTGAGAATTGATCACAAGAGTTATTTTACTATTGGCTCACAAATTAACTCATGCCTATAAACGTATTTGTCTTTGGGAATTCTTTTCTGAGCATGCCTATTGCATTTCTGAGAGGAAGGTGGGAGATATGGTGAGAACTAACCAGACTCCCATGGGCCACAAAAATTTGACCAGAGGCAAAACAAGTATGCTTATGCTGCATCTCCCTCCTCTTCCTCAGATGTATTTACTGGGCTCTGGAACATTCATTGTCAAAGATCTGCTCCAGGACAGGCATCACAGGTTACATTTAACACTAAGGTTGGTATTCAGTTTTATTCCTTTGATCTGGAATCAAGGGTCCAGGGACACACAGAATAAGACCCCATTCTTATTCTGAGAGAATACACAGGCTCTTTCCAGAACTAATCTGGAGTGGGACAGTGGTTGTTCTCTGAAGTGAGGCAAGATGAACCTCTCCACCCATCAGAGGGCCTGTCATAATAGAAAAGTGCAAGCAGATGTCTGTAGGACAATGTGCTAAGAATATCCATAGGAGATATAAGCCCAGCTGTAATTGGGTATCCTGATTGCTGACAGGACAAGAGCCCTGCAGCAGTCCTTAGTGTGTACAGAGAACTGGATTCAGGAATCTTAGGTCAAGTGAGGGATCATGTGAGAGAAAGGGCTGCTTGAGAAAATATTTACATAGATTATATGCCAGAACTAAGTCTAGTTGGGTCAGAGAAATGAACATCTTCATTTTAGAAAGAACTTAAAGATGATTGAACAGATGGCATAGGAAAGACTTTCCCAAGCCTGAGAACAGTAAGAATGAGAGAAAATCATAAAGGAAATGGTAAGTAAATGGTATGATAAAAAAATTTAGAACTGGGCTGAATTAGGCAATGTAAAGGAATACCTGAGGCTCCCCTGGTTGCCTAAGATAAGTTGGTCCCAGGGGCTGGCAGCATCTCTGGAGCACCACTAACTCCTCCAGTGGGAAGTTCCTCTGACTTCACCAGGCAAGTCTTTCCCAGCCCTAGTCAGACATAGATCTCTGTTGTGTCCTGTTGTTTCTGTGTTTGCCTCCCTTCAAAGGTATATAACAGTTAGTGGTGACTGGTTGATCAACTGGCTTGGCCTTGCTGCTCTAGGACCATAAAGGCACGGGATGGTTGAGCTTTGAGTTTAAGCAGAAAACAAGTACAGTCTCAGTGCAGCTCATCAAAACATATTGTTTGTTGCAGGTCTGCAGAGAGTGATCGTGTGGGTAACATCACAGTGATTGGCTGGCAGATGGAGGAGAAGTCAGACCAGCAACCCCCTGTGACCCGGTCTGTAGACACAGTCAATGGAAGGGTAAGTAGATGCTTTCCTCTTCTCCCACAGAGCCTTGTGGATCTATCCTGTGGAGATAGCCTCTGTGCTCAGCAAAAGACAGAACCTGCTGATTAATGCTGCACCTCTTGGAGTACTCTGGTCTTCTCCAGGCATGGCTCCTAGTAGGTAGAAAGGTATCCTGCCCTGGCCTATGAAACTCTGGTGTCCTAGAGCCTTCCTCTGCTCTCTGCACCATACTGGCCACTTTTAATGAGCAGGAACAAGACTACAGGAAGTTGGCCAGGGTGTGGTTGGTGAGTGGCATGCCAATGAAGAGATGATAGGGACCTGGGTCCTCCATTATAATCTGGTAGTAACTGTCTCTCCCAGACATCGACATGCCCCAGTCACCTTGCATACTGCCTTCTTTTCAGCATCTTTTCCGTCCATCTTTCCTCTCCTTCTCTCCTGCATGCACCTATACACACAGTCTCTCATAGACTACATGCCCTCAAATGAAAATTCTAATTTAAGAGCCCCAACACTAAGTAGTCATTGCTATAAAGATATTTTGTTTCATCTAAAACACTATCCTGAGAAACCCTTGTCATCATTTTGCACATTAGAATTCTGAAACACAAGGTGAAATGACTTATAAGACATTGGTGTGAGGAAAACTGTCCATGTTTGGAAAATGCTCAGAATACTGAGAGGGGAATTAATGTGTATGTGGCTTGGGCAGCATATTCATTGTAGAGTTAATGATTTGCATGTATTGAGTTCAGGTATTATGTATGGGATCTCCATTTCTGTGGGCTCTGCAGTCACCTGAGTCTCAGATTTCTTGTGTTTTATCAGATGGTTCTGCCTGTTGATGAGAGCCTGACTGAGGCATTGGGAATCCGATCCAAATATGCTTCATTGCGAAAAGACACTTTACTGAAATCGGGTGGGTACTCTTGCCACTCTTGTGAGTGTTCACTTAGTCCTATGGTCACCTCCTGCTCCTACCTTCTGTGATTGTTACAGCCACATCCTGATCACTACCTGTCTCCTGCTCATCAATGTGACATTCTTTCTCCTTTCATGTTGAATTCAGTGATACGCTCCCCGCCTCAGCTTTTTGCACTTTAGAGTTAGTCATCTTCCGGGACAAGAAGATGGCATGTAATAGAGGAGGAGTATCAGGTATAGTCAGTTCATGGGGTTTGTTTTATGTGCTTAAACTTCCTTGAGAAGACTGGAGAGAGGACTTGATGCTACCAGCATCACTGAAAGCCTGCATGGAAGGACCCATGGGTCTTTGGCCAGCTTACCCAGAGCCTGTCTCCCTTGCCTTCCTACCTCAGTGTTTGGAGGAGCCATCTGCCGCATGTACCGATTTCCAACCACTGATGGCAACCACCTGAGGATCCTGGAGCAGATGGCAGAGAGTGTGCTCTCCCTGCATGTGCCCCGGCAGTTTGTGAAGCTCCTACTAGAAGAAGACGCAGCCAGGTAAGGTCACATCATCACCCCATTACACATATCTTTTCCTATCTAAGATACAGTAGGCAAAGACAGGCTAGGCTGCAAACCCTTTCTCTGCTGCTTGCCTGTGGCCTTAGCTTGCCAGAGTCTCAGTAGTTCATGTGTATTTCTCATCCTTGATAAGGATTTCATTAGATATTGTGCTTGAAGCCCCAGAGGTGTGCCCAACACTCAGTGCCTCTTCATTCTCTTCTCACATATCCTTCAGAATGTTACAGATAGCTGGTTATTCTTTAGTCATAGCTGCCCAGTTGTTTTCTAGATTGGGGTACTTACACTCTGGGTGGTCACCAGGAATGGTCAGAAAGGGAGGGAGAAGGGAACCACTTTCAGGTGTGCTAGATAAGTTAGTGTATGCCCAACACTGAAAGGGAGCTGTGGCTGAGCACCAGTGGCTCACACCTGTAATCCTAGCTACCCAGGAGGCTGAGATCTGAGATTCTTATCTCCACTTAATCATCAAAATGCTGAAAGCAGAGCTGTGGCTCAAGTGGTAGAGCAAAAAGGCTCAGGGACAGTGTGCCTAGACCCTGAAGCCAAGCCCCAGGACTGTCATTCCCACAGTAGAAAAAGAAAAAGGGAGCTGGGGGAAGAGAGAGGTGAGGCAGGTCTTTGGGATATAGCAGCATTAGCTGACCTGAAGGCAAAGGGGACAGCCATGTGCAACACAGAGGTAAAGACATCCTAAGAGAGTGGCTAACAGCAGAGATAGACAGGGCTCCTGTGCTCTGTAGTAGCCTGAGACCAGCAGATTGGTGGCTGGCAGGGAATGAGAATCTTGGTTTCAGTGTAGCTCCACCTTCATTGGGTTTTATTTTACATTGGGTTTGCTACTTTAATAATAATAAAATGACAAAACTTAAAAAAAAAGTTATACAGTTTGATTCCTAAAAACTTTCGTCTAATTGTTTTTCTTTTCAAAGACATAGCACCCTGTAATTTCTATTTCCTGAAGGCAATCACTTAATGGTTGTAATGTTTACTGCTATATATTAAATTTTTTTTTCTCTGTGCTAGTCCTAGGGCTTGAACTCAGAGCCTGGGTGCTGTCCCTAAGCTTTTTGTTCATGGCTAACATTCTACCACTTGAGCTACAGCTCTAGTTCTGTCTTTTTGTTGGTTAACTGGAGATATAGGTCTCACAGACTTTCTTACCTAGGGCTGGCTTCAAACTGTAATCCTCAGGTCTCACTCAGCCTCCTGAGTAGCTAAGACTACAGGCAGGAGTTACTAGCGTCCGGCTTACCTGCTGTCTTTATATATGCGTTTAAAGAGCCCTCTATCATTTTCTGTGATTAGTTACTGATTTCCTGTGATGAGGTACTTAGGCCTTTGTTATCTGTTATCTGTTGTCTGTTGTTGTTGTTGTTTAAGAAACCAAGTTGTTTTTTTTTAATTAATTAAATTTTTTTTGGGGGGGCAGTTCTAGGGCTTGAACTCAGGGCGTGGGCACCGTCTCTGAGCTTCATTTGTTCAAGGCTAACACTATACTACTTTCAGCCACCTGGCCACTTGTGGCTTTTTCTGTTGATGTGGTACTGAGGAATCAAACCCTGGGCTTCATGCATGCTAGGCACCCAGCCCAGTTGTACAGTTTTAAAAATATATCTTGTATTATTGTTGTTTCAATTGTGTAGTTACTATTGCTGAGCTAAGGAGTTCCTATTCAGCTCTGACTTACAGCCTACATTTTTCTGGAGATAATTTGTCACTCTTCTCCTTTTCCCCTGTCCTCCATGCCTTTGTCAGGCACACACATAGAAGTCAAGGCTGGAGCCAGTCCTTGTCTTCCTTTCATAGGCAGCAAAAGGAAGAACAGCCAAAGGTACCATTTCATATTGGTCCTTTTCCCATTCCCCAAAATGATGACATTGAGTCCAAAGGGACTGTTGACTATAGCATCCATTGCTGAAGAGCCAGCTCTAGGCTTCAGCCCAGTAGTGGGGTAGGAGTAGAAAGTCTACACCTGATCAGAACCTGGAAAACAAGGAGACACTGCCTGATAGCCACTGAGGAGAAAGATGGGGAGGCATGTGGAAAATTCCCTCATGGCAGTTACTGACATGTCTTCAGTCCCTTTCTTCTGGACAGTCACACATCATCTTACTCAGTTTCAGGAAAGCTGTGCCAGTGTCAGAGTAGTATTTGCAAGGTCACCAGGATACCACTCCAGAGCCAACTTCCTGACAGCCTCTTCCCTCTCACTATTTCCACTGTTTCTCTTGAACATTCTACTGAGTTCCTAAAAACCTTTTGGTACATTTTCTCATGTGATCTCTCTTTCAGGTAGCTGTTTGTCTACCTTCCCTTCAGTTGCTTTTTGGGTTGGCTAGTACTCTGCTATCAGTGCTCCTTTCATGTGCATCTTGTTCTTTTAGTCAAGATTCCTAGATTTCTCTGACGAGGTGAGCTATCCCCAAGACCTGACAACTGTGTCTTCTTTGCAGAGTATGTGAGCTGGAGGAGTTAGGGGAGCTGTCTCCTTGCTGGGAAAGCCTTCGGCGCCAAATCGTCACCCAGTATCAGACAGTTATCCTCACGTACCAGGAAAACCTGACTGACCTTCATCAGTACAAAGGTGGGTATGGCCCATCTTCTCCAAGCACATGCACTCCCTACTTTCCTGGCCAGAGGGGTGGAGCCTAGGATCACTTGCACACTCTTACTGACAATCTTGAGTGGGTTTTAAAAAATAGATTTCATATAAGTGTGAATTCTTTCAAATATACCTTTTCAGATTTTAATTAAAAAGACAAATCAGTGAGTTGCACTGAAAGCCCTTCTTGATGCCATCTACCAACACAATCACTACAGGGTAAGATTCAGAGGAGACAGAACCACAAGCTATTAATGGTTTATGTAATATCTTCATCTTGCTTTAATATCACTGAAATGACCAAAAGCATATAGGCCATCTGCCTTGAGATGAAACAGTTCTATAGAATTTCTGGTTTAATTATTCATTTCTACTTTATTGAGCATATAAATTGTCAGAATAGAACTCTATATTTTAAGGCTAAAGATAGAAAGGGAAGTGTAAACACTGTTTTTTTTTTCCTTCTTTTTAAAAAATTTTCAGTGCTGAGGATCAAACCTCAGGTCTTGCACATGGTAAAACTCTGCCATTGAGCTGCAGCCCTTGCCCTACATTCTTTATTCTTAAAAGATGCCATTTGATTTCTAAAACTTTCAGGTTAGATTTAGAAAACTGTTCTTAACACTTAATAGAATGTATTTTTTGGTTTTTATTACTTCATTTATGGCTTCAGTATTTCAAATAATTCTCTATCTTCTTATTCTGTCTTTCTTCCACTGTACACTTTCCTTAAATTATTTCAGGGTTTAAGGAAATAACATAAGCCCTTATTGCGGTTTTGACACAGAACATAAAAACATGTCCATAAACTTGGGTAAGAAAAGCTAAATATAGGTATGACAAGATGGTAGTATATGAGGTTGATTTGATCCTGAAGAATAAGTCTTAAGTGCATTGCTAAGAGAAATGACAGCATTTGTCTGAAGAAGCAAGAAATCGACCAATGCTGGACAAATGCTCCCTGGGTAAGTGTGAAAGTCATATAACTTTCAGTTTTCTGGAATAGACCTTCTCAAATGTTATCCAAATCTTCTGAGAACCTTGTATAATGCATGTCTGGAAGTTTTCATTTCTCACAGCATCTTGGTATTTTTCACCTTAACTGCTGGTGGGAGGGCCACAGTGTGAGTATCAGGCCCTAGAGACTAATTCCTGTGACAAGACATAAAGCATAGGCTGCTGATCTGCACAGTGACAATCAAACTTTACTGCTTTATATGAGTTGCAATGTTTATTTCTTCTACAGTTGTGTCATTTTAATTCTTGGTTAGGTCTATGGTTCTTCACTTAAGTAGTTATCGATTCTGAATTCTGATTAAAGAACTAAGATTTTAGATACTGATTATAAAATATTACCCAACCTTCTTACCCAACCAAGCATACCCAAAGACATTTGTTGAGGTCTGTGTTCTGTTGCATTTACTCATCTGCTTGGACCTGGAATGATGAGCACACCTTTCCATCACTTTTCAGAATTGAGTTGCATTGCACTAAGTGATCCAGTTTCTCAGATCCTGGGTGCTGGCACTCTGGAGTGAGAACAGGTAGTTTCTGTCATGGACCTGTTCACTTTTTATAGTGGTGCTGGCATTGTGCTGTCCAGGATCACAGCTGTGTGGCAGGTCTTTGAGTTTCAAGCTGAGTCTTAGGAGGAGCTGGTTTCCCCTGGCTCTGTTTATCACCTAAGCACTCAGAATCAATCTTGTGGCCAGTAAGTAGCCCTCAGTAAGTAGCCCTCCAACCCACCATATAGAAATGGAATGTGTTCATGGACAACCCTAGGCCATTATTGTGACATGCAGCCAACATGCATTAACAGAACTGAAGAGCCATTTACCTCCTTGCTGTTCATAATAAATGTTGATGACCTTTATTTTCTTATTTCCATTTCTCAGGTCCTTCTTTTAAAGCAAGTAGTTTGAAAGCAGATAAAAAGTTAGAATTTGTTCCCACAAACCTTCACATACAAAGGATGAGAGTTCAAGATGACGGAGGATCAGGTACCTATTTTTCTGTTCTTGTGGTTGAATTACATTTCATTTCTCTCTCTCCTCTCTTTCCTCTCTCTCCTCTCTCCATACTTGGTTTTTGAGCTACCCCAAATCTGCTCCAGTTTTTCTGCCACTGGAGGTTTTTGGGAAAAAAAAAAAACATATCCCATCAAGATGACTTTTAAAGGTTTCAGTTAAAGAGCCTCAACCTGCAGATGCTGGTGACTTATGCCTATAATCCTAGTTACTTGGGAGGCTGAGGATTGTAGTTTGAGGACAGCCAGGCAAGAAAAGTTCCTAAAACCCCCTTATCAATACTTGATTGGGTGTGGTGGTGTGCACCATTATTCCTAGCTTCATGGGAGCTGAGATTGGGAGGGTGGTGGCTCTAGGACAATCCCAGGCAAAACAGTCCACAAGACTCTCTTAATAGAAGTAGCTGAGTACATGCCTGTCATTCCCATCTGGGAAGCCTAAAGTAGGCAGATCTTATCCAGATTTGCTCCTAGGTAGGAAGTGAGAAGCTAGCTCTAGTGCAGAAGAGAGCTAGTGTCATGTTTCTCAGCAGTAGAATATCTGCCTACCAAATATGAAGCCCTGAGTTTAAACTCCACTACCACCAAATAATGAAAAAGATGCTGGGTTATACTAAAAAGCCACTGATGCCTATGATCCTAAAGGCTTAGGAAGCTGATATCTGAGAAACAAGGTTTTGAAACTGGTCCAGGCAGACAAATCTATGGGATTTACCTGTAATCAGCCAGTCTGCCTCCTGCCTCCCCCAAAGTAATTCAAAGTAGAGTGTGGATTAAGTAGTTTAGTGCCAACCGTGAGCCAAAAAGCCAAGCAAAAGCTGGGTACTGAAGATCAAGACCTAATACCAGCACAAAATAAAATGATCCCCAAACCCTTTTCATGTCTCTCCTCTTCCCAGATTCCTTTTCTGTTTCTGTGGCAGAAAGTTGCCCATCAGTTATCTTTTCCCAGGAGGCATAGAAATGAACATTTTCATAGCTTCCTGCAGCCTCACATGACTTCATTTTGAAACCCTAGGCTCTTCTTTTTGCTGAGATGATGGTGCTGGACTCCAGCAGGTCCTCAAGTGGCTAGGGTGTAAGATTAGGGAATTAAGGCTGCTTGGCTATAGATTGGAAGGCACAATCCCAGAGAACTGTGCACATCCTTGTAACTGGCTTGTCTGCAGGCCTGAGTCTGGAGTAACAGAAGAACTTTCTGTCATTTAGATCAGAATTATGATGTTGTCACTATTGGAGCACCAGCAGCACACTGCCAAGGTTTTAAGTCAGGAGGTCTTCGCAAAAAACTACACAAATTTGAAGAAACCAAGAAACAGTAAGTAGGAGGGAGGGTGGGGGGTTGTTGTCCTTGTACAGCTGTCTGATGCTTCCCAGTTAAAAAAAAATTCAGTATATGAACATAAAACATTCAGCTATTCGATCTGCTTTTGCGTGGCGGAGGAGCTGCCTTAGAGACCCTGTGCTGCTCTGTGTGTGTGTGTGTGTGTGTGTGTGTGTGTGTG